GAAGGACCAGCTGGTGCGGGGGGCCTTCCCGTGAAGATGGGCCTACACTGGGGTGGCCCGCCTACCTGGAGGGCGAGGCTAGGACCGAGTCCATAAGTAACAGGGACATCTTTCCACACTGTCCCATCTTTCCTCCTGCAGGACAGGCTCTCTCTGGGTCAGTAGATGGACAGGCATTCATCTGGTCAACCCCACCCTTGGGGGAGGAAGGAGGGAGTCACATGTTCAGAGCTGGCCCTCCAAGTAACCCCAGAAGACAAGAGGAAGCCTTCTCGTAAGCTTAAATAGAGGGGGGCTACAAAGCCCCCACCCCAGAGGGACTGCTCTTTCCTTTCGGCAAGAAGAGGGCCAGATGGCCACCTTCCTTTTGAGACGTAAATGGTGACCTCCTGACTCAACAAGCAGCAAGCGCATCCTAATGAGAGAGTGCCCTTCCTGCCCACCGGAAGAGGCGATCGCACCGGCCCGCCCCTCAAGGGAACAAGACCTTCTTAATCACAGGCTGCCTCAAGGGGCTGGAACGGGACCACAGGCCCCGGGGGCTGAACCCTCCACCAGCAGCGACTGTTCCCCACACACACTGCCTGCCTGACTGGTGCCAGCCCAGCTCGGCTGCCCAGCCAAGCCTAGGCCGGGGTGAAGGCACCTCTGAATTTCCAGTTCTGGGAATAATAACTCACATTACTTCGATCCCATCTGCACCCAGTGAAGGAGCATAAAACACAAAGTTCCCACAGTCAACATCTGTCTTAGTGCAAACAATGGACCATTATCTTGTAAATAATTCTGACTGAGCTGCAGCAGCGTTTCCTCCTGAAGCTGGAGGTCGGGGAGCATGCGGAGGGTGCTGCTGGGAAGCCGGCCTGGGCCACCGGGTGCTGCTCTAAAGCCTCTCCCCCCGCCCCAGTCACTCAACCTCTTCACCCAGGCGGTGAGCACCCTAGCGCTGCCCACACAAGCAGGCCTTCCGACCAGCACCTCCAAACCGCGGGCGGCTTCCGGAAAGTTCCCCCCTGCCTCCATCCTCTCCTTTCTGCTGGCTTTTCTCTTCTTCCTCTCTCTCACTCTATTTCCCACTCTCCTCACTCCTCCAGATGCCACCTTTACCATGTTTCTTCTACTCTGTTCATACTGATTTTCTCTCCTCTTACTGTCTCCTTTCCTGCCCTTTTATCTTCCCAGGTCTCCAGTTTCCCCTCCTGCCTTTTCCCTTCTCTCCTCTTTGACCTCACCTCCTCCTCTCTCCTTTCTCTCTCCATCCGCATCTCTGTCTCTCTGCTCTTCAGCCCTCTCTCATTGTCTGGTCTTTTCTGCTCTTGGTCCCGCTGGGGCGCTCTCTCTCCTCCCTTCCTCCCATCCCAGGCCCCTGGGGCTTGCCCACCCCTCCAGACTGTCCGTGGGACAGATGGCTGGAGTACGTCCAGTCTGGGGATTCCAAGGCCTACAGGTCCCACCTGCTCCCCGGCTCTGTCAGGCTGTCAGGCCTGCACAAGCCCGACTGGACACACTGTGCCCACAGGAACGTCTCTTCCCACCACTGGGAAGCCCCTCACGACCCACCCCAAATCCAAAGACCCTTTCCCTCCCATGTGTTCCAGGATGCCATGGTCAGCCTGCCTCTGCACTCATGCATCTCCTATAGAAAAACCCAGTGTCATGAAACAGAGCTGGGGATTCACAAAACCACCCAACATTAGGGAAATCCAGGTGTTCGCCTGTTCAAAGGAGAGAGGATAACTCACTTTGTGAGGGCATGTATCCCAAAGCCCTCAAGAAAATTCCCCTGTGATTTAAAATGAATTGCCTGAGTGTGATTTTGAGACAACACTCCCAAAGTTTCCATGTAAAGCAAAAAGCCATGGTACAAGAATCTTATTCCTACTAGTTGACCACTAGAAAAATTTAAAAATCTCCTAATTGTCAATCCTTTGCAGCATTAGAAAACAGGGCAAGGAGCTCAGCTGGAGCGAACAGGGGTGATGTCTGCACATCCCAGGAATGGGATCACTGAGACAGAGCACAGCTTCCTCTGTGGAGGTGTTCATGCTGAGGATGGAAAAGAATCCCAGTGAGGCTGTCTAGACAAAGGCCTTCATGTGGTGAGTACAGGTTGGCAAGGATGAGGGGCTCCCTGCTTTGCAGTACTGTACCCAGATTCTCCACCCACTTGGCAAGGTCTTAGGGGGTATGAGTCCTCATGGGGGCCCTGCCTGAGACCTGCACGGCAGCAGAAATCCTAAAATAACTAAAATATGGGTGACTTGCCAGCCTCCAACTTATTCATATTCATTTTATTATCTTGAGGATGTACAAGGGTACACAAGTGTATCCTTTGATGGATGAAAAACTAGAGGCAATCAAGTTACATTCAATCAAAAGCAAAAAGCCAAGGACTTGAGGGGCTCAAAGCTGGAGATAGTATACACTGCCCCAAACTAGGGGGGCTTGCTAGCCAACAGCTTGCCACTTGGAGTGGCCAAAGGAACTCTGAGGTTGGAACAGTGGAAAGGTCACAGGTATGGAGGAGGATGTGACCTGTTCCTTGTGCCCCATGCATGGAGTATGCCATGACCCCTCATCTCTCCATACCTCCTTCCTCTCCCTCTGTTACTGGGTTGGAGTGTTGGGTGGGAGTGGGGGGCTCCCAAGAGGGACTACATACTTTCCAAAGAGGGACACAATAGATTATAAAATTGATATCTGTAAAGCCCTTGAGGAAACCTTAATCATCATGAAAAATACTATCTTCTCAAGCTCGGTTGTGAATACAAGAGGTTGGAAAATGGCAAAGAAGAAAAGTCAAATAATCAGGTTTTTCTTGCACTACTATGAACCCAAAGATTCAGTTTTATTGACTCCCTCTTTAAAATAAAATAGTTTGATTGACTTCCAGAATTAAAAGAGAAATGCCTTGATGCTCTTCTTATGAGTTAATAAAAATGTCTTGATGATGAAGCAAGTATTCACATGCCCCATGCCCAAACTGAAACCCCACATGTTCATGTGCTTGTGGAAAGACCAGCTGGGTGCCCACATCCGGGGCCCTGCAGGAGTCAGTGCTCATGAGGACTCTAGGACTGACCAGGTCCTAGAGGGTCACCTGAAAAGTAAAAGCTACAAGGGATCCTGAAAGCCATAGAATTTGAGACACAAGAGGGTACTGAGGGGATTTGTCCAAGCTCCTTGGAGCTCAACTGCTGTAGACACTGCCCTCCATCCAGCCTCCAGGAAGCCTGGTCCTAAGCTGAGTGCATGTCTCAATATTTAAAATCTGCAGTTCACTTCCCACAAGGCATCTTGGAGTGTGTATCTGCCCTCAGCCTGGGCTCTAGAAGATTGGTGGTCTTCTGCAGTACACCGGGGTGTGAAAACCTTCAGGCCAAGGGGTTCCCACTTGTTGTGGATTCTGTCAGTGCCCCATCCCTTCCCCTCTGGTTCTCTGGGACGCAATGGCCTCTTGTTTCTCTCTGACCATGAGAAGACTGCTTGGCTGTTGGATGAGCTGCAGTGACCCTCAACTACTGACTGAGAGCTGCAGAGCTTCTTCAGCCCTCAGGGGTGATTCTGAGGTGAACTTCACATAGTGTCCTAGAGGACCCCCAGGGCACAAAGCCCAGTCCCTGAGCAGTGGCAACCCTGTTGTTAGGCCCCTCACCCCATGCCTCCCTGGATCGCCTCCCACATAAATGACCTGCACCCAGGTCCTTATCTCAGGTCTGCTCTTGGGAGACGCCAACTAGGTGAGCAATGGGCTCCTAGAAGACTGAGAAGATAGATGGACTCTCCTGGACAAGAAAGAGCCCCACATTCTGTGAACCCCTGATTCAACACCAAGGCCTCTGCACCCCAGAAGACACCAGCCTCCATCCCGGCCCCAGGTGCAGGGACACCTTGGATGGCTTGTCCTTGTTGTGTTTGCCCTAGCACTCCCCCCAGGACATACAAAATACTTGAGTCAAAAGAGAAAATCGACTTGTCCATCATATAAAAAGAGCAATAATTTGGTAAATTAATTGCAAATTTTCTTTCCCCGCTTGGTTGCCTTTCTCCTTTTATGTGGATAATTGAGAGCATATTATATTAATTTGACAACAACAGAAGTTCAAAAAGAAAACTTAACCTTGTGAGCAGTGGGTTACCATTAGATGGGTGTGTCTGAACAACTCCACAAAGAGCATGAAAGACAAACTCCTCATAAGCCAGCCAATTTCCGGGTGCACAAATGGAGATTTTTGCTAATGAAATAGCTGTGCAGAGTTCCCCAACTTTAACCTTGAAAATGCACACTGTTTGCTCAAGAAGCAGAATCTGCTCATGCAGAGACAACACTGCCCACGTGCGGCTGCATATTTAGGGATGTAGTTTAATCATCGTGATGTGTCTTTGAGAAAAAGTGACTATAGGTGAGCAGTAATCGTCTCCCAAAGTTTAAATTCTTTTTCCCTGCCCCAGAGCATTTGAATTTCATCAAAGAAAACACATTTCGCAGCACGAGTAATTGAAGATGTGGACTTGAAGACTGGGTTTCACCATGAGCTGCACAGCGCCTTCTCCTCCCTCGGCCTATCCCATCTCACGGCACAGTTACCTCCTTGAAACTCCACTCCCCTCTACAAAGGGGGCCTCTTTCCACCTCAGACCAGTGGGCCACCGCGGCTTAGAAGGGTTTAGGCTGTAGGGCCAAGGGCAGAGTAAATAGGAGATGCTTGGGGCTGCCCCAAATCTGAGCCCAAACAGGTCGGGCTTGTTATAATGCCAGGTGGGGATTGGCGGGGGTGGGGTGGCAGGCTTCCAGAAACAGGACAGCCGGCCCCCATGTTGAGCCGTGAATGAAGTCAGCTCATCCCAGAGGCCTGGATGCACCCAGCTCCCTCACAGCCACAGACAGGATGTTCCCAAGAACACGCAACTGGTGAGAAGGGAGTTCTTTCCCAGAGGCAGCAGGAATGAGGGGAATGAGGGGGAGGTGGGTGGGAATGGGGAGAGCAGGGGGAGGGAGGGTCATGAAATGAAAGCGGGGAAGAGGCTGGGAGGAGGCTCATAAAAAACAGGAGAAGAGAATCCACAAAGGTCTCCTCTAAGCTTGAGAAGTCCCCCGGGGGAGCAACCCAGGAAATACCCCCTGCTTTTGAAGTAGAAATGCATGGAGACCCCCTTAGGGGGATTGGGCCCTCGTGGAGGGAACAGGGAACACAGATGCCTGGATAAGGAGCTCGAGGGAGCCTTCCTGCCATCAGGGTGAGAAGCCAGGATGATCTGTTCCCTGCAGCGGCTCTGCCTCTGTTGCCAAGGCCCGGCGACTCATGCTGCACTGGACCCCGAGCCCCACCCCTGCCGGACTGGCAAGGCCAGTGCTGTGGTGTCAGCAAGGTTCTGCAGAGTGCACAGCGAGGCTGTAGATGAAGAACAGAGCCAGGGGCAATGTGTTCAACCCTGAGCCTTTCAACAGACCCCTCCGGTCCTGGCCACATCTCCAGGCTGGAGGCATTGGTCTGGGGGGTGCAGAGGGTGCCCTTGCCTTCACAGAGTTAGATGGTGGTGACCTCTCCTTGGGAGCTGCAAATGTGGCATCTAAAACCCAACGTGGCTTCAGGCCCTGAAGGAGGGAGCACACAGCACCCCTCACAGAGGCTTGGTGTGCGTGGGGAAGTGATGCAGGCCTCGGGGGGCCAGCAGGAGGCGGGGACCCAGGAAAGGGCAGAGATGAATTCTCGTCCCTAGGGCAGTTCCTCAGACTCAGGGGTCATTGGAAGCAAAGACGAAATTCCACCGGAGTCTTTCTTTTGGTTCAGGCTGTGCCTACACACTGCTGGTGAAAGCTCAGGTCGATGTGGCCATGGACCAGGACCTGGTGGCTGGGGTCACTTCGCTTTACCTTGGCTGGGCATTTGGGGGTCCATCACGTTTTCCATAAGAACCCACAGTCCGTTTTCTCAGCTTCACGTAAACAGAATCATATTCTCAGCCTCAGAACCTCTCACTTCTCACCTCTTCCCCCCAAATAAGAGACAATCTAATCCTGTATTATATGGTTTTTGGCGTTGGGATCACATGAACAGTTTTCATGAGAAATACTGGAGGGAATGTTTCCAGCAGTCAAGGTGACACAGTTGTCCTGCTGCTAAGGCCAGGCTTGTTCAAATGGACAGTTCTGGGCTTCCAGCCCCTTGTACACAGGACACTTTGTTTATCTGGAATGTGGGGACCAAGCTTGGGGCTTGGGATTCTGTCAAACGATGATAATACCTTTCCCCCCGCCAGGAGCTGTTAGCCAGGGAGCAGGGTGAGCATGGAATTTAGAAGTTTACAAAACAGACCCAATCAGAGAAGCTTGGAAACACCGTTGAAGTGGCAGAGGGGCCTGAAGTCCAGCCCATGGACAAAAAAACTAAGCAAGATACAAAAGGAAAGTGAAATCCTTCCTTCCTGCACCCTTCCCGCCATGATGGGGTGGAGGGCGGGGCAGGCAGAAGCCTGTACGACAGACCAGGGCACAACCAAAAAATCTCAGTGGACAAAAATACTCCACACTCCAACAATTCCAACTACCTTTCCGTGTAAAACTACTCTTCACAGGATGAAAAGAAAATGTTAAGGTTTGCTGCAGGAAGGCCAGGCAGATGTAGTCCTCCACACCGGGGATGAGGGACAGCAGCCTGCACAGACCCCCACAGGGCCTGTGAGCCATCATGCGGTCTAGACACACACCCGAGAGACACTGGTACAGAGAGATGCACTCCCTGGACCCGCCACGGTCACCCCACCCAAATCAGGAGGTGCCTTGACATTTGTATGTTTAGGAATTGTAACTCCTGGGTCCACCTGAAGATGGGTGGAAGATGCAGTAGGTGGCCCAGAAAACAAACCATGGGACAGCATCACTAGTTTCCCTGAATGTCCTGTTGAGGCTCCCGACAGAGGGATGTCAAAGGGTGGAGGGTGTTGTGGAGTGAATTAACATAATGACTCAAAACTGCACTAATGTTTCACAGCTTTTTTTTATTAGCAATACCAAGATAAGTTATTGAAGCATTTTTAGTATTGTTTTACATTCCATTCATAAATGACCTAACTTGTAACTCAGCATACAGCACACTTAAAGATATAGTTTGACACTTATTCAGAAAGCTACAATTATTATAACTTACATGCCTTCATTACCAGGAACACCTTCATATATCTTCTAATTACTTCAACAATACTCTGTTCCAAAGCACACGATAACCTGGTACAAGTTTACACATTTCGCTTCAATCACCATTTTTAAGGAGTGAATATCAAGGTGCTATTCACTGGAATTTTACGTCATCTGTTCCTGGTTAACATGACGACCTGACACAATATTAAACTAGCAATATTACTGCTTAAATACTATGGAGAAAGATAATTACTGCACTTTTCTGTATTCTCTAAAGTGTTACAAAATACAGGACAATCAGACACAAGCAGTAATGCCAACGAGACCATCGCAGGGCCCGCCTCTAGAAGCTGTGCTGAGCAGGCCCCCCATCAGGGTTTCCACAGGTGAAGGGACCTCGAATCCACCAGCGTGTGTCATGCAGAATTCATGACTCGGAGGGAATTTTCTCTCCCGTTCAAGTTACTAAGCCTTCACCATCCTTCGCTAATAGCGGAACATATGGGGCAGTATTTTTAGCCTCCCTGATTCTTTGCTATATATACCGTAGGTTGGTGTGCCATGTGTATACACATACCTATGCCAATAGTAATTATTTATTCAACACACATATGTGTATACATTCTTCTCTTGACTTTATACGATTAACAAGCTGCAGATAGCCACCGAGGAGCACGAACAGACAAGGGCAAGTCCAGCTAGACCGACTAGAACAGGGGGTGTCACTTACCTGCAAGAAAATGTGCAGATTCATTAAACAATCCAGAAACCACGTGGGCCAGAGGCATTTGAAAGCAAGGGCAGGGCCACATTCCCTAATTGTTTAATGGGATAATGACAATAAAGCAATATTTATAAAATTTGCTCCTTCTGCCTCTGGCTAAAGCAAGAAGAGCCCATGTGATTAGAGCAGGTTGGCAATTAGATGCAGAGGTGCTGTTGATCAGCGCTAAGTAATAGGAGAAAATTACTACTTATTTGAAACCTGGGCTTGGCACATAGCATCTGAAAATAAAAAACACAGAACCTGATTCCTTCAGCAGTTAAGATGTGGTCCGTGGTACATGTGGCAGCTAGATGGCTGCCCGTGCCAACCACCACTTTGATTCAGTAGCCTAAGAAGGTAGACCCCAGAACTTAAGCCCAGAGTACCCACACACAGCTCAAGACAGCCATGGGGTCACAGAGCTCCTATTGCATGTGGCGGTGGCTGGGCCTGCCTGGAGAGTTTGCATTTCCCCAGGGATGTGGGTGTCCATTCTGACAACACTCTCTTCTCTCAGCATTCTCTTCCTCCCTCCCAATTTGAAGTCATCATTAGGGAGGAAAAACATTGTATATATGTTTTGAACCAAAGAGCTTGGTCGGTCTCTTCTCCCACCTCAGGCTTGATCCTGGGCAGTAGGTATCATGCGATCCAAAGAGAACATGGACACGGCAACTAAAATGAAAGCTACCAGACTTTTCTCCTGCTTTGGAGGCACTGTTGATTCAGACGGTAGCTTTTGGAGCCAAAAATATGCAGCAAAAGGAAAGGAACATAAACAAGGCTAAATGTCACCAGTGTTTGCCGACTTACAGACACCATCCATTTGTTTGTTCTGAAATGACGAGTGGACCATTTGGCAAATACAATGGTATTCACACAACAGTTCTGTCATCCTGCAGTGCAAACGACATCATGTCAGTGGCATTCCCATTTAACTTAAAAAGAGGGAAGGGGAGGAGGAATAGAATGCCGAAAGAGTTTGGAGAGGGCTGCCATTCGAAGAGGATGCCTCTTCGTCAACATGGTGCACACAGAGAGCCTCTGGATGAGGGCAAGGGAGAGCCTGCCCAGGGTGCTGGTTTCTGTGGGAGACCCCGGGGGACAGCACCTGTGCTTTGTCCCACCAGAGTTAAAGGCAAAGGCCCTGCAGCCAGCTGTGCGGCAGCCAGCCTGGGCAGAGCAGGCAGGAGGGGTGGTGATTTGCATTAATTGAAAGGATCTGCCCTTGGACTTCAGGACAAGCCAAGTGGTCCTCTCTACTGAGGCCTGACATCAGGCTCTGGACACACATTATTACTGGGAGCAGGCTGGACTACGGAAATCAAAGACCAACCTGTAAATGATAAAATCGGGCAAAGAAAGCAAGTGCAAAAGTTGTGCTTTATCAACAATCTCTGCAAGCCAACACATAAGAGAGTCATCTCATGAAGAAGAGGAAGAGAAGAATGGTTGCTCATTTGACTTTAAATAAAGCAGGGCAGCTCTAGAGACAGGACCTTACAACAGAGGTTTCCTGGGCCTCCTAGGCTCACTGCCTTCACATGTGTTGGCTGAGCCCGGGCACCTGTCTGCTTGGCAAATTTGGATTTTGTGGTTCTCGTCCTCTGCCATTTAACTAATTTAACTGCCTTTCTCCATTAGAACCTGATGGCTTCAGGGTCACACCTTAGAACTTAAGATCATCCACAAAAATGTACCAGCTGTCATAGGCTGTGCACCAGTAGCCCATGCTCCGGTGTCTTCATACACATATGCAGTGTTTTCACATACTCCACCACTGCTCCCTTGAAAATCCCTAACTGACCACAGACCTTAGCCATTTATTGGCCAAAGACTGAGGAGGCAGGACTTATTTCCTACTCCAAAGCACTTGCCTTCTAACAGGAGAAGAATCGGGTAGAAGCTGAAACGGTGAGACCATGGCAATGAGATGTCAACACAAAATTGTCAGAACTGTCTTCTAAGCTAATGTTCCCACATACCAAGAAATAGCTATCAATGGCTTGGCAAGGCAGACCCAAGGAAATAAGACGTGTCTCCATAACATTGATGGAAAGTAAGATTTGTGCCTGCTCAGTGCTAAAGGGATGACTGCAACCAAAAGACATTTGGGCAGTGACATCATCTCCTTGTGATAGCCTCATGAGGATGTTCACCCCTTCCAGAAAATACCAGCTCAACTGAGAACCATTTATCCAAGCTCTTATACATCCATTGCCTCTTTTTATCCTCACACTTCTGTCCATCAAGCTCACCTCGGAGCCAAGAAAGAGCTCCTGTGTCTTCCTCCTCTGCCCACATTGGCCATGATGGGGGTCAGCCTTTCAGAGCCCTGAAGTCTCTGATGCATAGGTAGAGATGTGACCTTCCAGAAATAGCTACTCCAGGCCACCTGGGTCTACAAGTCCTCTCTCTCTCTCTCTCTCTCTCTCTCTGCAAAATCTCTCAGATCTCTGGCGTTAAATGGCAATAGATGGAACGTTGTAGCTGCTGGCCTGGGTCCTGCCTGCGTCATCTCACTGGCCAGTGGGGTAGCAGAGGACAGCTTTCACATGTCTTCTCTAGGATGACCACAGCAACACAACCTTCTTTATACTAGCGCGGGGGCCAGCAAACTTGGATCTGTGGGCCAGTTCTAGCCCACTGTCTGTGTTAGTAAATGAAGTTTATTGGAGCGCAGCCATGCCCATTCGCTTCCTTATTGCTTACTGTCTGCTTTGTGCTGCCCAGCAGAGACCATAGGGCCTGCAAGCCTAAGGGCTCTCTGGCCTTCTAAGAAAACAGCTGCCCACCCCTGGACATTTTCAGACTGCCTATGCTGAGAAATCAACAAGGTTTCTGGAGGACTGAGTCACCTTTTAAAAGAGTTCAGCTTCGTTATCCTGGTTCATTTCATCACACATTTCAGAATACATGAGGTACAGAGGTTTAAGTAGACCCCATCTTTTTTTTTTCAGGAAGGGAGTCCTAATTTTCTCATTGCTATGAGAGAATCCAGGGGCGCGGGCATAACTTGGGTCAGGGAAGCCAGTTTCCCCCCAACTGGGAATACTGGGGCTATTGCTGGTAATGACCCTGCCTTCTCACTGGCTTCCTCCCCACTCTGGTGGGTCACTTGGTCTGGCAGCCACAACACAAGGGCCTCATGCCCACAATAGACAAGCTGATAGATTCTCCTCACTCAGCCGGGCTTCCCTGAGTGGCGGTAACTCCAGAGCAGAGCTTCGAAGAGTAAGGGGGTTGCACTCTTCTCACTCATGTTCCCTTAATTTGATTTTAGTTCTTCCCCATCAACCCTACCCCTGGGCTCACCAAAGAACACACGGAGCAAACTCTGCTTTCAAGACTCAATACACGATGGCTCCCAGACATCTGTCTCAGGTTCAAAAGCAAAAGTAAGGGTTTCTTTCTAAATCCACAAACTCTGGAGTGAAGCAAGCTCTGTACCTGGGCCATGCAGCCAGCCCCCCAGGTGCTGTGCAGCCCAGCCTCTGTGCTGACTAGGGCCCACCAGAGCACTCTCAGATCTCCGAGCTACTGGCTGTCCCAATAGTTTGTCAGATTTCTCAGGCTGGACAAAGGGGCTGTCTGCCTTGTCTTGTCAGTGGATGTGACGCTGCCCTGGTCTGACCTTGCCCCCCTTATTGAATACTCACATGGATCTTGTCCCATTACAAAACCAAGGTCAAACCCATTCCCAAAACACCGAGGACACATCCGAGTTCTCCAACGGCCGGGAGTGCCCTTGTACATTATGCTCTTCAACAGAATAAAGAAAGGTAGGCCATGCCTGGAGTCTGGAAACCACCTCACAAAATGAGGACTTTGATTGGAGCAGGATTTCTTGTAATGAGATCAGGCCCAGAGTGGGAACTGACTCACTCTAGAAGCAACAGTGCATGTCCTTCAGTTTAACCCAAGATGGCTCAATCTCCTCCTCGGGATCATCTGTAGCGTGCCTCTGATCTTTTGAAAATTCATGCTCAAGCTCTCAACGTTGTCACATGCTACATACCTCCCCTTCCCGGCTGGCTGGGTTGCCTAGCAGTGGACAGCGCACATTGTCCAGGACCCCAGGTCCATGACACCAAGGAATGAAAGACCAGAGTTTTAAAAGTCAGAAAGCAGGCATGCAGAATTAAGGAAGCATCCAGAAGTAGGGCCTATAGCATGAAGATCACCCACAGACTTAGGGTTAGAAGCCACCTTCTCCACTTACCAGCATGTGTCAGCAGAGCCACTGAGCTCTAGTGGGGGGGGGGGCGGGGGGGGCGGGGGGGTCTATGTGATTTGAACAGCGTCTTTACTGATGCTTCTTCTAATACTTCTACACTCATGAGAATAGAAACAGACAGACATTAGCTCCTCCCACAAGCCTGTTTCTAAGGGTGTCAAAGTGGGGATTTGGGTTTACTAACCAGATAGAATCAGACCCCAAACTCTCTTAAGTTTAGAACTATCAGAATAATTCTTTGGTTAGGCAAAGCCCAGCTTCTTGAGGAAACCAGCTATTAAGCTGCTGGGCCAGTTTGGAAATCCATATCTACTCTGAGTGGAGCAGAGAGGAGGGAATAAACATTAGGAATATTTGATTCCTTGTGCCAATATCATTTCCACCCTGGCAAAGTCAAGCCAATGGGAGTTTGAAGTTTTCAACTATCGCTTGTGCTTTTTGCAATGCTAGAAAGGCAGTAAACTAGGCAGTAAGAAAAAATGTCCTCAAATGCCCCCTTTGTAGCTCAGTGGGTTTAAGTTTTCCTCACAGATATCAACTCTTAGGAAGGATGAATATGCCTGGCCCTCCTGGTTCACAGCAGCCAGTAAGAAAACAAGAAGAGGATTTTGATTATGGTGGGCCAGGTATGGGAAGGGGGAATGAGAACTGGACAGAGTCAGGCCGTCCTGGAGGCGAAAGGACAGGGCTTCCACCCCAACCAAGCAAACACAAAGGCCAGAGAAGGGCCTTCCTTGCCTGCTCCCAAGCTAAAGCAAGAGGGAGGATGCAGAAGAAATTAGGATAAATGAAATGCAGAACTTGTGCACTCTAAAAATAGACATTTTTTGGCAGGAGTTAGTTTTGGCATCTCACCATGAGTTCAAGGTGGATCCATAGGACCTGGACTGTCCGCTGGGAAGCGACCAGGTGCCTTGGGGCCTGGCTGGCCTGAGGGTCTTCACTCCCCTTTTGGGAGAGAGGCCATGACTTACATCTCAGGCTCTTTTGCCCAATGGCTGAAAGGTTGACTAAGCAAGTTTTTTTTGCACGTACCCTGGAAATGTCAGGGAAGTGTGGTGTGCTGCTATTCTGGGAGGGGGCAAAAGGGCCTAAGAGCTGCAGCTCGGAGGAAAGGGCTTCCTGGTGCTGCCTTCCCCTCCACCCTCGCCTGGTGCAAAAGGACACAAGTGGGCACGCTTCCTCAAAGGCGGGCAGCCTTCCTTCGGCATTGATAGGACGATGGGAAAATTAATAGGGGTAATATGAGCTCATTTCAATAATAATGAGCTTATAAACATGCCAGGTTTTGATCTTTTCTGATTCATGGATTCCTGGCAGGAACTATGGGTCCTACGTAGGTATTTGAAAGAACTGAAAATAGACTTAAAAAAAAAAACCCAAACAACAATAAAAAAGAAAGCACTCCAATCACAAACTTAAAAACAACAATAAAAAAAAAAAGAGCAAAAAAAAAATTGGACTGACATAAAACTCTTTTCTCTTTCTTTTAAATATTGTTTTTAACAGCTTCAAAAGTAATGAATCGTATGTGGCTAAAAATAGATCTGGGGTGCTGGTTAATGGGGCCTTATGAATCATTCAGCATAAGGAATTGTCAATATTTTTTTGAGCTGTCAGAAATCCATTTAGTGATTTTTGACAATTCAAAAAATATTTCTGACTGCTTGATCCAGTTCTTAGTGAATTAGGGAAGGAGAGGGAGAAAGAAATACATCAATTTAAATTATGAACTGAGTCCAGCTTGCTGAATCCCACTCTGTGCTAAAAGGAATGTCAGGATTCAGAAGTTAAATACTACTCCCTTCCATCCATTTTCCTGCCTTCTTCTCTCCTTTCCTTCCTCCCTTCTTTCCTTCTTTCTTTCCTTTTTTCAACAAGTGAAGTAAAGTCACAGAAATTCATTCATAGATTACAGATGGAAAGGTACCGTGGTCATTTGTCTCTAGTGAAGATATTTGGGGCTGGGAATAACATACTGAGCTTCGATTCCGAGAAGGGCTTTCGAATAAGAATATCTGGGTGACAAGAGAATGACTTTGATCCTCCCTGCCCACGCCGACATTGATTTGATGCAGGTCTAGGCTTCAAATCTAGCATTACTTTTTAAGATCTGGAATTACTTTGGAGTAACCATATTCTTTAAGGAGGTAAAGAAGTGCCAGTTTGCTAACAAGATCAGGCAGGCATAAATCCAAGACACACAGGATCACAACCCTGCTAACCAGGGACTTCATAATGTACATTCTTGTTCGAACAACAGGTGAAGAAACAGACAGACAGAAGGCAATAATAGAAGGCCAAAGTCACAGTAACTGCCATTTGGTATGTCTGAAGATGAATCACAAATACCCCAAACCATCTCCCTGTTTGGAGAGAGGGTCATTTTATTTCTACATTGTGGTTAGTGTGATATGATTTTAGTATCCTCAAGTCATTATAAAGAAAAGTTTCAGAAAGCAGATTTGGCTTAGCAAAGCAGTAAGGGATTGTCTTTAGGCATCTTATGCATAAGTTGAAAAGACTGAAAAGTTTGCAAGTTACCATGTCTCTTTCTCTTTTTGTTTTTTGAAATTTTTCCTTTCCCCCTCAAGTTACGGGTTAAAAACAGGAGTAGTGCACACTGTGAGACCCCGCCCCCTTTTCCATGCCTTCCGTACAGGCATTTCAGATCACAATGATGCAAACTGAAACACGAAAGTACGAGGTCCAACACTTCTAAATGAAGTTGACTCTCATGATTGTCTATATTGCATATACAGCATAGTCGGGGTATTTCTTATGTGTAGTTCAAAATCTGCTCATGGATAAGTCTACCCCATTTTTTAAAAATGCACAAATCAGCACTGATGTTTTGGGAAATGAACTAAAGGAAGAGGATTCTAAAACTTACCACACAAGTCTGGCCTCTTGATACATCCAGAATTTGCTGTGCTACTTGCAAGTCCGTTAAAGGCTGCTAAGCCATCGGCGCTGTAGGCCCTGAGGACCGACAGCACATTCACCGGCTTCTCCAGGCCCTGGGGCCCCCGCTCTGGCTTGGGCAGGCTCGCCACGGGGTCCTGGGCTGGAAGAAGGCCCGGGCTGTGCCACTGCTTCTCCGATGCCTGGGGTAGAGGGGAGACCAGTCCCTGGATGGGCTGTGGGGCGCCTGCGGGCAGCAGGCCATCCCCACCGTCGCTGCCCCCGTCCTTGCTCAGGGCAGGCGGCTTGCTCATCACCTCCGGCTCCGTGTCGATATCCTCTTCCTCGTTGTTTTCTCCTTTGGAGGAGTCCATGTCCTCTGAGGAGGCGATGTCCGAGAGGTCATCAGTAGTGTTCTTATTTGTGGTTTCAGGGATCAGGATCGGGGCATCATCTTCCAAGTGGGCCTTCCCATCGGGCTCCCTGTTGGGGCAGGAACTGGAGGCCCCCGAGCCCAGCAGACCTGGGTAAACACCGAACTGCTTGTAGAAGTCTGACGGGAAGTTACAGAACGTGGGGTCCACGTGGCCAGGCCATGGGCCACCCTTCTGCTCCCCCAGAGTCTCTTTGACCTGTCCTTGGGCCATCTTTTCAGAAGCCGAGTCTAGGGGCCCCATCATGTTGGAAAGCGCCATCTCTTTGCTTGATTGTACCGAGGGCAACAAGGCCACTTTACTGGCCTCCCGGGCTTGGTCTTTGCAATTGACCGTCACCCCGACGGCACTATCTTTGCGTTTCGATTTGCCCAGGTGGTTGGCCTGGAGATGAAGGGCCATCAGCTCCATAGAGGACGTTGTGAAAGCACAAAACAAGCAGCCATGCCACGCGATGCTGTCTTGTACAGTCACCGAGGAGCCTGGGAGGGAGGCGGCGTCTGGCCGCACGGACAAGTCCAGGGGCTCGTACTGAGACTTCTCAGACTTCCTGGGGCCCGCCTTGCCGCCCGCCTTCTCCTCGCCACCGTCTGCCCCGTGGACCTTCATGGAAGGAGGGTCAGATAGGGCTTTGTCCTTCATGTCCTTCTCCTTCTTCAAGGAGCTTAGGACAAAGCTGTCCATGAACGCTTGCAAGGACCCTTGGAAATTCACACCGTTGTTCACGATACTTTGATAAGCTCTCCCGATTTCGGAGAAGTGGGTGCTTTTGGAAGGAAGGTCGGTACCTTTCAGAGTGTCTGAAGGAGCCTCAGAAGACAAGCCAGTGGCCTGCCCTGAGTGATCTCCAGATGAGAACAACCCTGATGTCCACTGCTGAGACGCAGGGCCACCTCTGAAGTCGATTCCGGGGAGACCCTTAAAGGCGCCCCTCAGGATGTCTGGCCTGATAAACAAAGCAGCTTTGTTGGACAGCTCGTCCCTGTGCTCTTGGTTCAGGGGCTGCCCAGACAGTGGCCCGGCTCCGTTCTGCCGCTCCCGGTGGTGCCGCTCTAGGTGATATTTTAAGGAGGCTGATTGGGTGCCGGCATAATCACAGTGGGGACATTTGTAGGGTTTCTCACCTGCAAGATTTTGGTATAAGGAGAAAAAAAAAAAGTGTTAATCTCATTTTGGTGTGCTGAACAAGGCTAGAAGGATCAACATTTGTTCTTGGAAACAAAGCAGCTCAAACTAATAATTAGTTAGAGAACAACTGTTTTTTAATAGAAGAATAATTCGTACTCTTAAGCTTTTTTAATGATTTTGTACCATTTGGGACTATTCAGGAATGACATACTATCTACACACAATTAGCTATCTTTTTCTTTATCTAACATGTGAAAACGGCTGTAGATTTAAAAGCTATGATTATGAAAATTAAGCATAATAATTTCAACCACAGTGATCATTAAAAGTAGAAGTTTAAAAAGACAAAGTATGTAACAAATGGGTGGTTGCAATATTTTGTGTATACGATAGCTCTAAAATTTGTTTAAATTATACACATGGAAACCATTTTTAAACCTAAAAATTTTATGGCACTGTTACGCAAGACTGAAATGAATGATTTAAGTCTTGCTCTGCAGTAAATCATGGATATAATTAGCAAATGGCATACTGCACAAGTAATTTATCATTATTTGGAGGGCACCATTCCAGACGGGCTCAGATATCTGCAGACCTACTGCATTGTTTCTAAATAAAGAACTATAAATACCGATTCTATAAAATATTAATACCATTACAGTGCATTATGATTGCAGCATGTAAAGGCATATAGTTAAGATAAAAAGCAGTCAATAAAACTTAAAAGAAAATGAGTAATAAAAAGGCACAAAATATATTTAGTTTCTGTATTTGAAATTAACATTATCTACTGGTCTTTGTAGTGCCTTAAATTTGTACTAATGGCAAACCTAATGCTCTGGTAGTAAAATGTGTAATTTACCTATAATAAGCACTTTCTAGAGAATAAAAATAGCTTTAAAGACTTTTAAAACATATAAGATCATTTTCATGAATTAAATATTTATTTAAATCCAACACACAACTTCTATTGTTCTTTCTACTATGGGAAAGATACCATAACATACAACTTAGACCTGCCTACGTTGTAGGAGAGAGGAAAAGGGGAGGGTAAACAAATGCGGATTTAAATATATTCCAAGAATGTGTTCGCAATCCAGGGTCTTCTCTGGACTTTGGAATCGAAAAGCTCTCTGGAAGGAATGGGACTGTTAGAGTTCCCACGAGCTTGCTCACAACTCCCTGTCAATATCCACAATTAATTCTCCGAGGAAATTCAAGCATCCCCCACGGCTTCCTCTATTCTATTGTAAAACACACTGATCTAAAAGCAACAGCAAGTCATGGGTGAATGGTGTATTCTGGAGACATTTTACTGTGTCTAGTCTCAGCTGACGCCGTGACTCCCAGCTCTCCAGGCATAGGCCATTTGGGGGTAAGGCACTTGTTGGGGGTGGGGTGGGGGGGGGATGCATGCATTTTGTAAATAAGAGGACCACCAGCCCAGGTTCTGAGCAGAGGACTCCAGGTCACCTCCGGACTGTGCGCTCCAGCCTGGGAGAAGCTATGCCTGCCTCATCAAATGGTGGCTATGTGCTCCTCTTTCCCTCCTACGAGCAGCTGAAGGTTTCCTCTGGACACATCAGATTCCCATCTGGGGATCTCTTTCTCTGAATGAAAAGGTCACGCTGTCTCTAGACCAATGACATGGATCTAGAGGAAGACTCACTCCCCTTTGATGTAAAGGTACAAATGGCTTCAGGCACCATTTCCCACTTCTTGAAGTCAATCCCGGTGTTAGGCTTGGATTCACTTCAGCCACTGCTATTTGGACATCTCACCGGAGACTAGGGGAACCTCAGTGGGATGGGCACTGTGGACGGGGTGCTTCCGGGCTGACCTAGAAGTCCAGTGCCAGTTGGAGAAGAGGCAGCCCCTGAAGCTGAGGGGGTGTCTGTGGGGCTTGTGGTAGGAGAGCCTGATGAGGAACTCAAGATCCTGGCCCACGGGTTGATGTAAACCCGGGGGGGAGGGCCCTGCAGTGAGAGTTGGCAGAGGTGCCTACAGGTACTGGATGAGACTCGGGTTGCATTTCAAAAGTGCACCTGGAAACGATTAAGTGCATCTGGCAAAGGGTTTGTAGAGCATGCATGGGCATCCATCAGCAGGAGATGCAGAGAGAAAATGTAGACCTTCCCTCCAGGCCTGGGTGGAGCGGGGACTGCCTTTCTTGGCTGACTGCAGGGATGCTCAGAAGAAGTGCGTAGATTTCCAAGGGACACACACTTGAAATGCTCACTGCAGCAGTGGTTGTCAGACTGTACTGAGCATTGAATCCCCAGGAGACTATAAAACACCCGTTCTGGGACCTAAGGCAGAGCAGTTCTGATTCCCTGGGTCTGGGGTGGGTCCAGAAGTGGGTGCTTCTAGTAAGTGCCCCTGATGCTAAAACTCTAAACATTACATTTTGAAAAACCACAGTGGAACAGCTTGGGGAGCTTTCAAAAGTGCTGATACCTGGTCCCACTTCCACCCCCAGAAATTCTGAGTTCCCGGGACAGACTGAGCTCTGGGGTCTTTCAAAGGCCCCCACGTGACCCTCTGTGGCGCCTGGGTGGGGAACCACTACATAGAGCCTCCCTGGGAAGTACTCTTTTAGGTCGGTACTGTGGAACAGTGTAGCAGGGAAGCTAGTCTGGACCTCTAGAGCCCAGGAGGCATCTGGAGAGTCTGGACTGGGGACAGAGAACCTGTGTTATTTTTGCTCCACTGGGCATTCCTATCTTGGGACCTTTGCTTCCCCGACCTATAATGTGGCAAGTCGGAGCACATGTTCTCTATGGCATCATGTCAACTCTAAAAGTCATGTCAAGGGCTAAACAAAGTCTCCTGAATGATGCCAGAGGCATACGTGTCCATACATGTATGTACCCGCACACCCGGAAACACATGGATTCGTTCACACAGTCTCTATTGAATGAGCACCCCCTACCCCCCAAGTACTGCTCTTGGTGCTGGGAATTGAGTGAAGAACCAAAGAGACAAGGCCCCTACTCTCACGGCTTTGAGAGGACACATATCATAGGATCATTAAAGAAAGAGGCACACACACACATACCACACACACATACACTCAGACACACCACACATCATACATACACACAACATACATTACAAACACATACACACAAACACCACACATCACACACACACACACCACACACATCACACACACTACACATCACATACACGCCACACACCACACACACACCACACATCACACCACACATACACACCACACACCACATACACACAAACACCACACATCACACACACACACACCACACATCACACACCACACCACACATCACATACTCACCACACACACACACCACACGTTACACACATACACACATACAACCACACATCACACACACAACACATTACATACATACCACACGCACACCACACATCACACACACATACAACATACATTACAAACACACACACACACCCCAAACATCACACATGCACCACACATCACATACTCACCACACACACACACCACACATCACACACATACACACACACAATCACACACACCACACACACACCACACATCACACATACTACACACCACACACACATCACACACACTACACATCACATACACGCCACACACCACACACACACCACACATCACACCACACATACACACCACACACCACATACACACAAACACCACACATCACACACACACACACCACACATCACACACCACACACACACCACACACCACACATCACACACACACACCACACACACATCATACACACACCACACATCACACACATACACACACACAACTACACATCACACATACCACACATCACATACATACCACACACACACCACACACACCACACACATCACACACACTACACATCACATACACCACACACACACCACACCACAGACACACACACCACACACACACACCACACCACACACACACACCACACATCAGATACACACACATACCCACCACACATCACACACACACATACACACCACACACACACATCACACACACACATCACACACTACACATCATACACACACATCACACACACACCCCACACATCACATACACACACACATACACACCATACATCACATACACACACAGGCATCACAAACACACACCGCACAGTGCAGGAGAGGACCTCTTCACTTGACCCACTGTTCTTTTAAAGTTAAAAACAGGTCTTGACCACCACTGTTCCAGGGGAAAGAGGCCACATCTGAGAAACAAGAATGGTTAATTCTTAGCATCTAAGCCTCCAAGGATCCAGGCCCTGGTAAATTCGGGGCCACTTAACGAGAGTCCTCAAGGATTATTTTGACTGCACAGGCTCTAGAAAGCCTTCCATGCACCGCCCGTGCACACACCCTGGAACAGCCCTCACAGTGGTTTCTCCATGTGGTTCCACCTCCAAGTTCCTGAGAGGCTTTATTTGGGTGACTGCCCCCTACCACCCAATTCCCCAGGTAAATGCTCCAGAGTGAGCTGTGTGGGATAAACCCACCCGCTTTGGATGTTTCGTTTTAAAAATGAACAAAAACCTGATTTTATTTTCTTTATAACCCCTAAATGATTCGGATAACCACTATCGTCCTCTGCCTTAAAGCCTTTCCTGGGCTTCATCAGGTACAAGGAAATGCTCTGGGGACCACCACTAGCCCCGGCCGGGGTGCGTTTCTGGTGGGCAGACCCAGGGGTGAGCACATCCCCCTGGGGAAGCCTGGCCACCCAAGGGTCTCGTTTCACTGGAAACAGTCCAGCTGTTTACCAAGCAACCTCCCTGGAGGGCACATTTCAGAGCACTCAGGAGGCAAATGTCTCACAACAGTGGCCTGGACTGGGTGGGAAAAACCTGTCAGCACATTCAGCGGGCTCTGAGGTATGGTCAAGGTCTGCTCTTCGGTGTCGTCGACTGACAAACGCCGAGTCCTGTGCTAAGAGCTGCTTCTCGTCCCACCCAGCCCGCTCTCGCCCGGGCAGGGCTCTGCCTGAGACTCGGAAAGACGTTCTGTGCAGCCCCGTGGCCCAGACAACCTCAGACCCTGCCAGCAGCTCTGTCCTCAGACCCATAAGTGAGTCCAAATCTACTGGGGGGAATCGGACAGACTGCCCAAGGCTTTGCAGGGTGACATGAGCCCTCTGGTCACCTCCACGATGTTCGCATTCAATGTCTTTGCATCTGCCTGTTGCAGGAGCCATACCCTCAGATGCTTTCAGAGCTGAGCAGACGACGAGTGTGCGAAACAGCGGGGTGGGGGCCACCCACCTCTCCTGGAGGGCCACCGCCACCCAATGCCACCAGCAGTGGACACAAGGACCTCGATCTAAGGAAAGCCTTGCTTCCAGATTTCTACATGCAATATCCCAGTTTTAAAATATTGGCACGTACTTAAAAACTTTTTAAAACACAGAGAGGGCCAAAGACCCTATCCTGCAGACCAGGTCTGGTCTATGAAACTTGTGTCTGGGTAAAGGATGACCAGTGTTGAGCCATTCACCTACCAAAGGAAGCAGGGAACCACAGCAGTAGGTTTCTGTGGGGAAATTTCTCACAATATTTTAAAGGAATAAGAAGTGGGCCCAAACAATGCATTTCTAGAAAAGGGAGTTTTGCTAGAAAAGGCGTAATAAATTAAAAAACTCATCACTCCATGGTTCATCACTCCATGGTCTAATGGTCACTCCATGGTCTAATGAAATTATTGGAACCATCTTACATTAAACCAGCTACCCACTGACACATGGCATAAGACGCATATTCAATTCTGGAATATCATTGATAACTTCTCCAAGTCGTTGTATCATAAATTTTAAGGACTATATGACCAAGTGGTATAATTAGTTCATTGTACCTATTTTTACATGGTCATGTCTCACCATTCTGAGCCTCACTTTGCACTTGATATTCAAGGAAACCTCACTGTTCTGGGGAGTTATTCTGGAACTATTCAGAGCAAGTTCCCTATAGTGCTTCTCCAAAAATAACAGGGGGATTCATTTTATTCTCGTTGGAAATTCCTTTATCAAGCTTTTAAGAAGGGCTTCATGTTTCTAACTTTCTCGTGTGTGTGTGTGTTAAAACCCCAAAAGTGTTTTCACTTTTACGTTGGGTAACCTAATATTTTCCCGTATTTGCATCCTCTATTTGATATTTATTTAGTCTTTCTACATGTCTTTACTTAGTTAATACCAGGAGAGATAAATACGGTGGTGCCTCTGCAGAGAAGCTTCAGTACATTAATATAAATTGTACACTAATTCCCCCAAAGCATATATATGTTGTAAACCTGAAGACTTTTCACACAGCTGCTTATTGCTAAACAGTGCCTTGTCCAGAAGGGGACAATCTGTGTCTCTAATTGCTGTCACTGAAGCCGAGATTCATTATGTGACTTTCCCATTAAAATGTGAGCATTAATTTGTATAATGAAATATCGCCCACTGCAGTGTTCATTAGCCATGCCCTACTGTATACGGTACATTGTTAGCTACCTAGAAACTGTAGTTAATTTCACTAATGGATATTTCCCTACTTAGTGTTTGGTAGGAAATTTATACTGTAACGTTACCTCTTAAACTTTTAAGGAAATTTAAATTCAATCAATTATTTTCAACAAAAGTTTGGGATGTCATTAAGGCAGGAAAAGCAAGGATGGGGGACTGTGGAAGAAGGAAATGGGCTTTTAGTTCATCTTAGAGAAACGACAGAATTTTAATTCAAAACAAAAAGAAAAAAAGGAATCGTCTCCTTTCGGGCAAATGGGTCTTTTTGTTTTCTCATCATCACGCAGGTATCTGTCCCCCACTAAGAATAACTCAATGCTCTCCTTTTAGAAGAGGAAATGGGAAGAGCGCCCATTTTAACCAATCCTTTTCTGAACATTTATTCAATGTGCTTTTATAAATGTTGAAACAGCCTGGTTACCTCACCAGAAGAGGAGACGCAAAAGCATCAAAGGTAAGCTGTGTGTGTATCAGGCTTAGGGTACCTAGCTTAGGCGGGCTGAACTTTCATTTCCACCCACATCCACAGACCAGTCGCTGCTTGGTTGAAAGGCAGTTTCCAAAAAGGCATCAGGAGTTTATCATCTCCACTATGCCAGCGTCTAATTCCACCCCACTTTCCATGCCAGGGGTCAGGGGGCCTCCACCAGCCACAGTAGCCGTTTCCTTGCCCCACCGCCTCCCTAAGCTCATTGGGCTGGTGGGAAATGGAGGCAAGCGGGTCAAGGAGGCCTCAGGCCAGTCTGAGTTAGGGAGCAAGGAGGAGCCAGGGTGCACAGTACTTCCCTTTTAAATCGCTGGGAGGCTGCGTCAACACACCTTGTGGGTACAAGTCACTTCCTTTCCTCCAGCTGGTTATGGTGTGGACACACACTGTCAAAGAAATGTTGCATTAATTCCCTAAAACAAGCCAAAAATTCACCCAGAAAAGTAAAAATAGCAATACAGTGCAGTGGTTAATAGAATGGAATTCTAAATTAGGCAGATCTGGATTATGACCTGTGATCAATGCTGGGCAACTCTGGGTGGGTAGCTTCACATCTCTGAGGCTCAGTTCCCTCCCCTTGCAAAGGGGACGGGGCGGGATAAGGGGCGATTTGGAACCTGGCCTCCAAAGTGCTGTGAGGATTAAGGGGCGAATAATAATAATCCACAAGCAGCAAGCGGTGCTTGCACACGTGAGTGCACAGAGAATGGTGACTACAGTTGCTGTCGTTGTTGTTGTTATACTATCCTTGTTGGCTGAATTCTTCTGTGGGCATCCAGTTGCTGTCATGCTGTGTAGACAGCTTCAGTCATGAGGCAAGAAAACTCCCAGGCTGTGCCTTCCCCACAGGGAGGGCACACAACCCTTTGGAGGGGCTGCAGGAGAGAAGCCTTCTCACCTCCACAGTCCCCTTTGGCTCCATCAGGACAGAGGAGCCTCGGGTCTGGTGCCAAGAATGCAGGTGAGAGCCAAGGAGGGCACCCCGTGCATCCCACCTGGGCAGCGCTCAGCCGCTATATCACTGAGGCACCACCCAGAAGGGTGGGCAGTGCTGGGCATGCCCCTCAGCCCACCCTGAGACCCCTGGAGAACCACGGCTGGCTTCCCTGTACAAATCTAGTCCATAAAGAGATGCCCAGCTCAGGGCCAGACCAACACATGCAGCAAATCAAAACCAGATTAATAAACCACTAGCATAGTTTGAGAGGGGAAAAAACTAATGAGATTTATTTTTAATTAGTCTCTGAACTTTAGTGCCTCCAAGTTTTCATGAGTGAGGTTGCTTATTATATTTCTCTAAAATGGCCTTCCTGGGACAACAGGCACCCCCTGGGAAACCTGACACACAGGTGGGTCATCACATGGGGTGTTACACCCTCCTGGGGCTTGTGGGGAATGCACACCCCTCCAGCCTTTCAGGAACTGATCAGCGCCTGCCTACCTCCTGCACAAAACAGACACACTGGACCCTTCAGAGTATCCCCAAGGTAGTACCTGGAGGAGGGGGTAGTGAGGGAACAGATGGAGTACATTTGCAGGCAGCCAATAAAGAAATGACTGGCTGGCCTCGGTCAGGGGCAACCTGGGGGCCTCCCTGCCTCCTGTTGCATGGTATGACTAAGTGCTTCGCCCAGATATTTGGTCAAACACTATTCTGGATGTGTCTGTGAGGGTGTTTCTGGATGAGAGTAACATTTGAATAGTAGACTGAGAAAGCAGATTGCCCTCCCCAGTGTGGGTGGGCCTCATCCAATCCGTGGAAGGCTTGAATAGAACAAATCTGAGTAAGGGAGCTCTCTCTTTGAGCTGGGACTCCATCTCAGACTGGGACTTATACCATCAGCCTTCCTGCTTCCCAGGCCTTTGGACTCAGACTGGAACTTATACCATCCACTCTCTGGGGCCTCCAGCTGACCAGCTGCAGATCATGGGACTTCTCAGCCTCCATAATCAAGTGAGCCAATTCCTTATAATAAAGACCTCTCTCTTTCTCTCTGTCTCTCTCTCTATATGTATATATATATTGATGTGTATATATGTATATGTACACAGATGTGTATATATAGATATATATTTGTATATATATGTATATTTATAGATGTATATATGTATATTGATGTATCTACATATGTATATGTATATAGATGTGTATATATGTATAGAGATGTGTATATATTTGTATAGAGATGTGTATATATTTGTATAGGGATGTGTATATATGTTTATAGATATGTATGTATATGTATATAGATGTGTATCTATGTACATGTACATAGATGTGTACACACACACATGCACACACGCACACTGTTTCCCTGGAGAACCCTAACTGACAAAGTCTCCTTACTGACTGGCTCTGAATTCCAATCACCGGCAGCGTGCTCTAGAAGATAAATCGCACACGTCCAGTGATTGGGTCCTAATCAGCCCAACTTTCAAATAGGAGAGAAGTTCAGCCTTCCCTGTGTGGGCAGCAATCAACGTCTGTCCTGCAGGAGCCGGAGAGGGGCAGCCCCTAGGATGTGAGGGTACTCTGGGTGCCTCCCCTCCATCACGCATGGATCTGGCTGGAGCTTGGGGGACAACAGAAACGTTCTTGCTACCTGCAGGCTCTGCCCAGCCCACAGGTGTTCAAAGCAACCAGACTGGTGCATCTGCTCAGAACCTCTCTAATAAACAGGTGCTGGGAGAAGAAGAGCAGTAACTGAGTTAATGTAGTGGAGTTAATAATGGAAAGTGTTTTCATCAGAGTTGATGCTATACGATCAAAACTTCCCATAGAGATGGGGTAGGACAGAAAGACACAGAGAATGTTCCACCTCATATCCTGACCAATTAAAATATATTTATTACACATTGGATTTTTAATGTGCTCGTATGGGTCCATTATAGAAAAACTTCAAAAGATGGCATCTTGGAAAACAACTCTTCTATTTTGGAGACTGCTGTCCTCTGGGCATGTCACTGGGAAATACAAAACCGCAAAGAGAAAGGGGAAGGCAGTACAGGACATCTCCACAACTGGGGCCCCTATTAACTCATTCATTAGCAAACCACTTGATTTTGATTTGAATTACACGTAATCTGCACTTTTATGTTGTCACAATGGATGTTTTACTTTGGTGATTTATAACGTGTAACACTTTCTGTTCTGTTCAGAAGCGCAAGTGTAAGCATTTTCCAACTTCTTTGTTCTTTGATAAAAGGAAATTGATCTTTATCCGGTTACCATTCTGCCTTTTAAACACTGCAAATTCTGTTTCCGAGGAGGGCTGGTGGTGTGATGTTTCCATGGCTTCTTTCATTTTCACCCTTATTCTGGGAAGTTTCTGGAACGCCTCTGTCCGTGGCCCTGTCTTGCTTCTCTCTGTGTCTCCAAAGACTATTGATCACAAACTTTGGAGGTTTGTGACGCAAAAGAAGCAAAAGTTTGGAAAAACATAATGTTTCTCAAGCTTTAAAACTTCTAAAAACAGTATCCATTTGTTTCTACCCAGGTTCAGCAAGACTTCTTTCTGCCAGCTTCAGTCCTAATTTACCAAGAATATTCTGTGGCGTTTCCACTCGAACCACAGGCAAGCTGATGGGGGTGGGGGCCCCCAGGGGCAGCAGAGCTCCTGGTTGGGAGGCACTGCCCCTTTCCTTCCAGACCCACACTCCCCAGCAGGGCCGGCCTCACCTGTTGTGAGCCATCATGCACCTGGGAAACCTGGCCCAGGAGCCTGTATCCACATCACATGAAAGGGAAGTATCACAGCACCCGCCTGGCCAGGTCTCCACGCTCCTGTAGGCAGTGAGACCGTAGGTGCCCTGATGGACTGTCTCCCATGTCCTGACGGTCTGTGGGTCCCTCCCAACCACCACAACACTAGGGGACCCGGCTCCAACCTGGGGAGGAAAGTGGAAATTACCATGATCTGAGAAAGCTGAGCTGCCTCTCCTTGAGCCCCATCACTGGGAAGAGCTTACTGAGAAGGGGACATTGGTGCCAAACTCTGAAGGTGAGGGTGCAAGCTGGTGACCTATCTTACAGAGAAGTGCAAAGGCCCTGAGGCAGGAACTAAGGGACTCCTCGTGAAGCTCCTGCGGAAAGGTCTTCCATCCATAACCAGGAATCTAGCACCTGCAGCCTGGCTGCCACGCTGTGGCTTCTGACCAGCTCACGTGTGCAGGGTGCCTTTCCCAAAGGACCACAGGTTCCCTAGGGAAGGGTCCACGTTCCCCACTGCACTTGTCCCCTCTGTGCTACCCGTCACAGGGCAGGCATTGCAGGAGTAGGGTCACTCACTTATTTGTTCTGTCATTCAACCTCTCAAATAAATGTACCATGCCCCCTGTAAGCTGCAGTTTACTGCAAGGTGCTCTTGTAGGCCCTGGGGTTCTACAGCAATTAAATAGATGGATAATATTACACCTTCACATTCTACTTGGTGGAAGACAGACAACACAGAAGGAAATGAACAACTGAACTGAACAAGATAATTTCAGAAGGTGTTAAGTCTATGGAGAAAATAAAGCAGGGGCGTGAGGGATATTTCAGGCAGGGTAGTCACGCAATCTCTCTGAAGAGATCACATGACGCTAAGCCCCCAGTGACCACCTGGAGGAAGAACATTCCAGGTGGAGGGGGCAGTAGGTGCAGAGGTCCTGCGGCAGAAGCAAGCACTCTGCATTGGAGGAACAGGAAGAAGGCAATGGGGTCGCAGGGTGGTGATAAGGGTGAAGATGGGCAAGGTGGGTCGGGTCCCATGGACCCTGGAGAGTGAGCAAGCTTGGCACGTAATTTTAGGAGACCCCTCTTTGCCCTGGGGTGACCCCATGAGAGAAGTGCTCCAGGACAGGGAGGGACAGTGGTGATGCCCAACTGCACCCAGGCTGAGAATAAAGACAGCAGCCCATCCCACTGCCACCTGTCCTCAGGGCTCCTCTGGGTGTCAGGGAGATTTGCAGGCACAGGTGAGGGTCCAGGTGAGGGCTCCTTGTCTTTAACCACATGCTGCACATGAGGCCCGTACACACTAAATATTCTTCACAACCCTAAGCTTTATTGATTCCTTGGGAAACAGACCACAATTATTTTTGAAAATAGATGGCGTATTTGTCTATCCTCTGAAGCAGCTCACATTCCAATAGATAAAGTGTCAGGAGAAAAATCAAAGAAAATGGAGGTGTCCATATGTCAGAGAGAATTTTTTTGTATTGGCAATGTGCAAACAGCTAGCAGAAAAGCTCACAAGAACCATGACCGAGAGACAAGATAGAGAGACCAAGAGAAGCCCTCACCTTGAGGGGCTCGGACAACGCCGTAACAGGGGAAATGACCACAGTGGTCCAGCGGCTTGGTTAAGAGCGTCTCGAGTTTTCTTTTGAGGAGACCCAGTGGAGAGTCACCCACCCTCCTCTCTATCTATCCAGTCCCAGGTGTGGGCACGTAACCCCAGCTGGGCTAGAAGCCAGCCTGCCTTCAAAGACCTCCTACGTGCCCTTGTAGAGTTAGAGTTTGAGCTGGGTTCTCATCACCTGCACCTGAAAGGCCCCTGGTCCATGTGAGGATGTGGGAGGTGCTACTTCAGTGCAGCAGAAGGATGCCATCAGCAAAGTGTCACAGGGCCCCGGACAAAGCATCATCATCCCAGGCCTGGACCATGGGAGATCCACGTCCACATGTCCATGTGTCATTCAGGGGGGTGAGTATGGAGTAAAGAACTGGGTCGTTAGGGTCGGTTCAGACCCACACAATGGTGCACGGATAGACCCACAGAGGGTGGACCTAGGACAGGAGCATGGCAACCCTGGGCCTCCTCCTTGGAGCTGTGCACCTGGATCCCTCACCTGTGTGTATCCTCAGGTGGACCTTTAGGTGATGGGATGTCCGGAAGGTTTTCCCACAGTACGGGCAGTCCTTCATGGCCGAGCCCAGGCTCCTGTCTCGAAGCAGTGCGGGCTGCTGGACGCCGGCAGATCTCCCAGCCTCCTCTCCAATGTCTGCAATGGAGGAGAAATATTCTCACATCACTTCAGCACATGTCAGAAGTTGTTCTCACCAAAACTGCCAACACCACACAAGGCTAAACATGTCAATACTACACCTGTCTATTTCATTCTTTAAATCTGACAGAATGCTGACAATTCACGTATTTTCTTGTTATTCTCTTAAATTATTTCATCTTTCCTATCATGATTTTAAGCAGCATATGGTACCTTTATATTGAACTGAATTAAACAAGAAAAGAAACAGCTGTGTCAGCAGCTGGTTTGATTTCTTCTTTTGCTTAGCTCCTATTAAACATTTTTTTTCAAAAGTTTAAAAATGTTGGTGGTTGTTGAGTCTGATTAATTTATAATATGGACTAGCTGGAGAGTTTGCTATAGGATCAAAATCACATTTGCATTATATCAGGCAACAAATGAAAAAAAATGTGTCTCGGCTGAGTCCCCAAGACATGCAGACGTACAGCTATTTTGGGACAGGAAAGAAAATTATCCCAAACTGATCATTTCTTCCTTGTAGAGTCTTGCCTCCATCGCTGGCTGGTGTAATCTCATGAAAGGGAGAAGAAAAAGTATGGAAATGTGGTTCCACAATTAGCCCATGATAAACATATAGTGACATATTCAAAGTCATGTGCAGAAACTCAGCTGCAGAACTCCCATAAACTTAGAGCACTGCAGTTAAATCTTTGTGCAGTGACCTGAGAACTTCCTCTGTAAAGTATCAATACAAATGTTCCTTCCTGCTGTTATTTGTTATGTAACCCAAACCATTAGAAAATGGAATAAAATTTACATACGGCTGCCTTCTGCACAGAAATGATGGGACATAATAGTAAATAGAACTGTGAAAATATCTAGTGGTTGGAGGATATGTTATTGCAACACCCGAGGCCTGACATCACGTTGTCAAAGAGGCGACATCAGGGGAGCAGGGCAGGAGCTGGGACTCTGCATCTCGAGAAGGGGAGGCAGGCAAGCCTTCTCCTCTGGCCTCCCCGCAGGGCTGGAGGCTGCTTCCTGGCACATAACCCAAGCTCCTGAGGCTGGCAGGGTCCTGGCCGCAGCTTCCGGCCCACCCTCTAGGTCTCCTGGTAGATTTCACCATGAGAACAAGGGGACCTTCTGGGATAATAAGCAGACCTGTGAGTTCCGCAGAGAGCAAAAAAAAAACAAGATTTGTACCTTCCAAGCACTGGAAAATGCAAATTGCTTTTATTCTTCAACATCCACTCCTGGTGCTCTCTGCTCACAGCCGAAAGGGACAGACTCACAGGCCACGGACAAGATGAAGGCAGTCGCACTCAATTCTTATTTGGATGTCTGCTCGGTGCAACCGTGGAAACCCTCTGGCTTCGAGCATCCTCTCTGAATTTGGACTGTGCACGATGGCATCATCACCCTAGAAATTTTCCTTGAAGGCTCACTTTTAATCCTATTCTCCACAACTCTTCTAACCATCCTTGGAAGAGCTGTTCAAAGGTCTAACTGCCCAGCTTTTTTTTTCCTCGTAATTTTACACAGGGAGGGGGACTCAGTTCATCCACATCTAGAACTCACTTGACCTAGCACTAGCTTTGTGGTTGTCCACATGACTGTGGAGAGACTACCAAAGATGGCTACTGGGCTGCTGATAAGGGAAAATAGGCACAAGAGAGTGTTGCCAGGTCACGGCAAACAAATGTCCCACATGCAGTCCTAGCAGGAAGTCCCTGTCCGCAGGTCAAGTCCACCAGGGCTGCCACCACCTCTGTCTTAAAGAGCCAGTTTGTCGAGAGCCCAGGATAACAATGGCCAGATGCCAGATGCCAATTCCAAGTCAACCGCATCCTAGTCATAAACAGCTGAGAGGCCATCTCTTACCCATCTCCCTCCACCACCCCCAAGCCACACCAACCCCAAACCTGTTGCATTTGCCCTCCCAGCATTACTCATTCCTTTTGTGGGATCATGAGGTCAGCTTAAAATAACAACGAGCCTGATTAAAATTCTGCCCAACTGCTCCCTGCAACAGGGTTAAGACACCCTATTTAAGTTAGGAGGCCATGAGCTGTCCATTTGAATGATGAGCAGAACTAAGTGTTGACTTCAGGACAGGAGTAGGCAGGTGTGGGCTTTTAATGTTGCACCCCTGCCCATCCTCGTGTCCCACGGTCTGCAGCTGAGCACCTTCCCCAGATCCTCCTCCGTCGGAGCCCTTGGGGAGCAGTCCAAGGCAGGGCTGTCCAACAGAAGAGAATAGAGAGTGTGGGGAACATACTTCCACTGCAGCTTTTGGTGAGCCCCGGCCCAGGGCACGATATAGATAAATAGACAGATAAGGCCACTGCCCTGCGCTCCCACCGGCTTTACAGAAGGTGAGGATGAGCTGTGTCTCACTATATGTCACTCTAAGCGATGGCCTGTATCTGTTTCCCTTTTATCTTTCTATCTTGGATATGTGTGGCCCAATAAAAAGAATGAATTTGTAAGATAAACAGCTTTCTTTGCAGATTTAAGAGTCTAATTTTCACTTTACACAGAATGTTTTTTCTGTTTTTGCTTTGTTTTGTTTTGTTTTTTGGAGGGCCAGAAGGCCTATGGCGTTTACTCTTAGACTAATCCAACTAGAAAAACAAACTTGAGCAACGATGAAGGGGAATTGTGGGTGGTCCCAGGAAGTGCCCGGAGAGGCTGAAAGCCAAGTACAGTCAGTCAGTGATGGCAGAGGAAGGCCCGCTGAGCCGCACACTCACAGGGCCTGTGTGTGGGTCCCTGCCTACACCTGGATGGGTATCGAGGAACAAGGCGCGCTAAACCGAGCCCAGCCCCGCTGAGAACTCAAGGGGCTCACTCAGAGGGGAAGACGAGGCTGCTCTCTGATTCCTTCTCTACCCGCCCAGAGTGTAAAAGCACTAGCAGCTGTCCTTCTGCAAGGCTCCCCAGATGGAGTCCCGAGGCTCTGCCTGTGGCCACACACAGCTGGCCGGGGAAGAACCACGGGTCCTGCTTATGGACAGACCAGCCCTTCCCCAGCCCTTCCAGGAAACACACGACAGAAAGGAAGAAGCATTATAAAAATGACACCTGTGGTCCTTTGTCAGGCCGATTTTGGATTGGTATGAGCTTTTAAAAAAATTTTCCTTTTCCTAAAATCTGCAGTATCTCTTCCCTCTGATCAGACACTTTCTCTAAATGTGCTGAGGACGCTGAAGGTGGGCGTGTGAACAGAGGTCGGCCTCAGACCCACTGGCTGTTCCTCCTGCTTCTCTGTGAAAGGAGCGCTGCCAGCTCCTAGAGGCTGGGGTGTCCCTGAGAGTTGGGGCATCTGGCTACAGGCAACACAGCCTCAGCCTGGGTGTGCTGTGGCTCTCATAGGATGGGGAAAGGGATGAGAAATAACTCCTGGGACCCCTGCTTCTTTTCTTGACCCCACTAAATAATATGGGATCTATTCTTCAGGAATGGATGTCTTATATATGGCGGTAGCAAATAATATTCCAGAGGAACATAGACTATACATGCAACCCTTCCCAAGTTTCAGCCTAGAACAGGTGAATTGTAGTAGGTATCAAAAACTCTGCAAGCTTTCTCCTGCTCCTACAAGCTGAGAGTGGTTAGATAAAAAAAAGGACATGGATCCAATCATTTCAAGTTTTGTTTCAAGAATTTAGGAGGTTTCTCAAAAAACTAAAAACAGAACTACTGTTATGACCCAGCAATTGCATTCCTGGGTATGTATCCAAAAGAAACAAAAACACTAATTGGAAAAGATACATGCACCCCAATGTTCATAGCAGCATTGTTTACAATTGCCAAGATATGGAAGCAACCTAAGCGTCCATCAACAGATGCATGGATAAAGAAGATGTGACACACACACACATATATATATATATAATGGAATACTACTCAGCTATAAAAAAGAATGAAATTTTGCCATTTGCAACAACGTGGATGGACCTGGAGGGTATTATGCTAAGTGAAATAAGTCAGACAGAGAAAGACAAATACTGTATGTTATCACTTACATGAGGAATCTAAAAAATACAACAAACTACTGAATATAAAAGAAAAAGAAACAGACTCACAGTTATAAAGAACAAATCAGTGGTTACCAGTGGGGAGGGGAAGAGGGAAGGGCAATATAGGGGTAGGGAACTAAGAGGTATAAACTATTAGGTATAAAATAAGCTACAAGGATATATTGTACAACACAGGGAATATAGCCAATATTTTATAATCGCTATAAATGGAGCATAACCTTTAAAAATTGTGAATCACTATACTGTACACCTTATATATAATATATACAACTTATATAATATTGTACTTCAACTATACTTCAATTAAAAAAAGATATATTATTTGGGGGTGGGGGACATCAGACAATTGACCTTCCTAATTTTGTCATCTCAAGGTCAGAAACCATGCCTCCTACATTTCCTTTTGCTGCTTCTAAGCCTCTGAGTGTATAGCAAGGTTGGCCTAGGCCAAGGTGACATTAAGGTTCATTACCTTCCCTGAGAATTCACAGAGGGAGGGTAGGAGGGAGTTTCCATAGCTGTGGGCTGAAGGAGGGGCTGGGGGACTAAAAATGGTCATGGAGGGCTTCCCTGGTGGCGCAGTGGTTGAGAGTCCGCCTGCCGATGCAGGGGACGTGGGTTCGTGCCCCGGTCCGGGAGGATCCCACATGCCGCGGAGCGGCTGGGCCCGTGAGCCATGGCCGCTGAGCCTGCGCATCCGGAGCCTGTGCTCCGCAACGGGAGAGGCCACAGCAGTGAGAGGCCCGTGTACCACAAAAAAAAAAGGTCATGGATCATCAACCGCCACAAACTGGCAGAGTCCTGGATAGACAAAGAATCGATGCTTAGAAAGAAAGACAAATAACTTCTCAAAAGTTAACGCCTAGACACACACACAATACCATCAGCAGCTGTCTGGCTCCATCCCTGAGACTGGCTACCTCTCGTACACAGATATGATTTGAATCTATGGGTGCCTCATTGTATGCT